CCCCCCTCCCGGGCTGGCGGAAGAGGCCCCCAGATTCCTCCTGCAGAGTCTGTCTGTCCCCCGGAAAGCGACAGTGTTTTCCAAGGAGGCGCCTTTCACTCCGAACAAGCTGCGAATGTGACAACCCTCCTCCCCACGAAGTCGCCCCGTTCGGGGCCTCTGCTGTCACGTGTGGGCAGCTCGTTCCGAACACCGGCCGGAAGCGGCCCGCGCAGAGCCGGACCAGACCACGCCGTCGTGTGAGGGAGCCCTGGGCTGCCCCGCACCTGCCCCCCACCCCACGTCCCCCGCCTGCGCTTCCGGCTGGCAAAAGCGCGCGCGCGCGGGTGTCGGAGCTATCACACGCTATCTCAGGGAAATTTCTTCCCCGTTTCCATCTTCCCACACCGCTAGCAATAATACCGTGCTGCACAGGATTCCTAACTGCCAAGTTCGAACCAGGGTGTTCTATGTCATAAGCCAAGTATCGCTTCCTCTTTTAATCAGAAGAAAGGGGCCTTTTCTCTTGGCGAGAGCCCTGCCAAGGATCTGTACCACCCGTACAACCACGCACGAGGCTACCCCTCTTTTAGAGTACATCCCTCTCCGCCGCTCTTCACTTGGGCTTTGCGCGCTGGGGCTGTTGTGCCAGAAATCCCAGCTCAAACGTTCATTTTGGAGAGTGCCCGCCCCGCGCTGGGTCTCCTGTGCCAGAAATCCCGGCTCAAACGTTCGTTTTGGAGAGTGCCCGCCCATGCGTGCGCCCGCCAGCCTGTCCCTCCTCCCCACCCACACACGTGTAAAGCAGACAAGGGAGGTTTCCCAGACTGTGCAATGCCTGGTGCTAGTGCCTAGTATAAGGGCTGGCCGCAGAAGACGAGGTCTATTTAACAGGGATGGTGGACATTTCTGCCTATAAGCAGACTGTAAAGTGGCAAGGGAGTCATTGTACTGATAGACGACGTTCTAAACGAATTCCTCCTAGAACAGAAAACGTGCTCAGTGCTGCAGTGGCAGAGTAGGCCCGCTCCTCTCCCGACCCCCCCACCCTCACCTCTCCTTCCCATTGGAAAAACCTAACAACTTTCTTAGCCACAAAATGGAAGGCTAAGAGTGGTCCCTACTTCATAGGGCTGAATATGTTCAATGAATTGATGTACATACGAGGTGTGATTAAAAAAATACGGTGTATGTTTAAATAAATAAATTTATTACAGTAAAGAACACATCGCCATTAATCCCCCTCAAAATACTCCCCCTCGCTTTGAACACACGTATCCCATCATCATTCTTGCCACTTTCTGAAGCAATTCTGAAAATCCTCTTCCGTGAGTGTCTTTAGTTGCGCTGTCATGGCTGCCTCAATGTCCTGAATGGATTCAAAATGTTTACCTTTCATGGTCATTTTGACTTTTGGAAAGAGCCAGAAGTCACATGGTGCCAGATCCAGTGAATAAGAACACACTGTAATGTTATTTGACAGAAATTGCCGTACCAGAAGCGATGGGTGACACAGCGTGTTGTCATGATGGAGGATGAAGTAAAGACACTCCTGTAAGAGGACTTCTAGAACTGCTTCAGAAAGTGACACGAGCAACAGGATACATGTGTTCAAAGTGAGGGGGAGTCTTTTGATGGAGATTAATGGCAATATATCTTTTGCTGTAATAATTTTTAAATTTAAAC